GTTACGTGTACGGGGTGGCCGCGAATTTATCGCCATTCCCGCGACTCAAAAAATCGCAGACATCGCAACTTTTTGCTGAAAGAAACAAAGCTGAGAGAGCAAAGTCGCGGAAATTTCTCTCGCGCTTGAGAGAAAAAAAACCGCGAAGAGATGATTAGAGGACGTTCCCGCACCTTTTGCATCGGGTTGTCTCGATGATACACAGATCACAAAATGCGCGTAAAGGTCGGATGATGTAATCAAAAACGCGAGAAAGCGGATCTTTCGTAAGTCGACCTTCGGAATCTCTGTTTCCGCGTGTTTTGCTCCCGCGCATGTGCATGCAATTTGCAAATTTCGCGCGAGATTCTTGAAAAGAGCAAACAAGACTTAAACCGGATTCAGCGGAGCGATTGTTTTTTCTTTTTTCCTTGCGAAAACACACGATCTCGATTGCCTAGAGTGCAAGAGTGATCGAACAGCTACGGCGGCGGCGGAGCTGCTGCAGGGAAAGTGCATAGTTGCATCAAGTTGCAACTTGCCGAGAGTCTTGCTGTAACGCGTTAATAGTCGGAGGGAAAAAGAAAGATACAAGAAAGGAAGAAAGAGAAAGAAAAATGTAGGAAAACGATAGAGAAAAAAATTAAGAGAGAAAGAGAGAAAGAGAGAGAGAGAGAATCCCCTCGCTTACATAAGCGACGATATTAAAGTCCTTCCTCAATGGACGTTCGTTGATGAGCAGCCGCGGCGAAATGAGAAAAGACTTTGAAAGCCTGTTATCAACAGTCTTTTCGAGATTCGCCGAACGAGGTTTCAAATAGAATTACCTTCCTATTGTAATATGCGAGACAAAAGTTGAGTTATTTTGTGGAAAATCACGGGGAGTGCGAATTCAACCGATCGATCGAGACGAGATTTACAAATGCGTTCGTTTTACGACGAATTTTGATAGTAGCGTCCGGGTCTGATTATTATTCATTGGAATTGTGTTTGGGAGTTACTTTTTTTTCCAGTGTACGACGGCGCGTCTAAATACAATCATCGCAGAGGATCGAAAGATAAATGATAACAAATCGAAGACTCGAGTACCGCGCGAGCACGGGACGCGAGAGCAAAACCGGACGTACAAGCCTTGAGAGTTCGCTCGCTTCTAAGCATCCGGTGGACTTACACATATGTTAATATCGAATCGATCATTAATAATCGATTGTTACTTTTTTAATAAAAATAATTCCGATAAAGAAAAAAACGTATTGATTCCCGCGGCGGCGCGCGCGCGACAAGACCTTATGCTGAAAAATTCGGGAGAAAGCAGGACTTGTTTCGATCTCTGTCAGAAAATTTGCCGCTCGTGTCGCAACACGCCAACGTTTCACGTAATAGGTAGATAAGTTGGCGTTCGCGCGCGCGCGTGAACGAACGTGTGACGAGTGCCAGTTGCACAGGAAAGTATGTGTCGTGTAAATCTTCGATATCGCGCCGTGATTTAGCCCGATCATCGTGTGCAACAGATCGACGGGTTTGCGATCCGATCGTCGTCGTCGTCGTCGTCGTCGTCGTCGTCTATCGATCGATCACATGTGTGTGAGTGGAATCGCCTCTCTCTCAATCGATCGCGCGCGTCTGTATTCAAGACTATAAAAAGTGTCTAGTGCGCGCGCGCACACACACACACCGCGTTTTTTTTTTTTGCATCTCTGCGTAGATTATACAACAGCTTTTACCGATTGCGTTACTGTATACAGCAACCGGCACATACGCCGACCACATCTAAGCAGAAACTAGTTTATTTGGTTTTGTGCGTGTACTAATCCGCTTATATGCTGTTCCGTCATCTGACAGAACAATATTAATTAGATCGCGAATAAACAATTTAACAACAATTAGTTAATCCTCGGATAAACAATTTAATTTGTACACATTTGTCACACGAAAAAGTTAAAAACCTAACACTCATTTGCTTCGGTTGTTTTTGTTTTCTATTTTTTAAATAACAAATGCTTTGTGTCAATTCTTATTAGCGCCTCGTTTACATTTAAAAGTTATGTATCGAACGATCTTGAACGTGTGTTACACGGATTAAATGTGACGCGGGAATGATTATTAAATTACATATTGTACAAATTCAATTACATATTGTACTATTCTGAGACTGTATATTGTACTAATTCATATAAAACGCGCTGCAATAATAATTAGTTGCTCTAGTGGGATTATATATACGTGTATGACTAATAATACGTCTTACATGCTTCAATGTCAGTGCAATTATTTATGCAATATTAAATGATATAAAGTATAAGTAGTCTAAATACAGAGATGTGCGAGCAATAATAATTTAAAACGAATTTATGATTGAAAAAAGATGTTATAAACATTCCAACAACCATTCCTACTAACAAGTGCGCAAGTTTTTTTTCACAATTAATTGCCGTACAAAAATATATTCCAATACATTATATGTACATTGAGCTTTCTTATCATTTTCTTATTTGTCGTCAAATATATATCATCCGCTTATTTCTTAACACGTTGAACCGCGTTGAACGCGTTGAAAAAAAATGTCAGATATGTTTCCTACTTTTGGAGTTCCAAATTGTGTTGGTTTTTGTGTGCGATATATATTAAAGACTCGTTTACTTATTAAATAATCTTGCAAGTTCTTCGTTAAATTTGTTTCACTTAGACGAATAAAAATCTCGCCACCCGTATAAATGGGTAAACAAGGAAAATCTACCTGAGATATGCGTCACGTGGCGTTCAACGTGTTAGATTTGATATGGTATTTGCAATCGATGTTTAATGGAGCAGTGATAAGATTAAGCAATTATCAATAAAAAGTTAAAAACTTGTTTGACAAGTTTTTAAAGAAAAAAAAAATTATGTGAACCAGCAAGCAACGAGTTTAAATTTCGGCGAGCAAAACACTTTCAAGCAAATAGTATGTGATTATTTCTCTACAAAGTTCATTTAAGAAAAGAACTTTCGTGCTCTAAACAAGTTTCCCTCATTCCTCCTAAATTTATTTCTACTTTTGCGTGAGTGAAAAAACGTTATATAATCTTCACAGTTTTTTTGGTTTTTGTTTTTCAGGTTTTGCGACATATCGCGGAAAAAAAAGTAACGTGTGTGGAATCTTTGGGCTTTCCGCTCCGGATAGAGCCGCGATACGTCGCGTGTACATACGTGTCGCATATCGTGCGACAATTAATCATACCCACATACCATTGTATTGTCATGTTACGTAACGCGGAATTGTGTGATGCACACATGAGAGCGAAATATTCGCGGTACAGTAGTTGAAACCTTTATCTAATTTAGGAGAGCAACCGGTTTGTCTTGAAAATGTGAGGCAACGACACATGTTTCAACAACATTCTTCTACATTTAACAAGTATACGAATGTAGGTCTTACGCATTGAGAAAACGAATAGGAAAAAAAAAAAAAAAAACGAATCATAACCGGAAAGTTTGGATCGGTATATATCGAAGGCGTATAAGAAGTTGCAGAGTCCCCCTCTCTCCTTTCTGTTTAGTTAGCAGTGTGAATACATTATCTTCACAGTGCAAAGAAATGTCTTGTTCCAATTTATCTGTCTAGATGTTTGTAAATTTACGTAAGTAGAGATTATTGTGGCACAAAATATTTTTTTTTGTTTTTTTTAAATCAACGATATACACGAAATTGCACAAGAAGTTGTGTCCGTGAATAAAAAATACGTTTTCGATAATCAAACCGGACATATTAAATCAGTGCAATTTGTTCACGCGTTCACTTTTTGATATCGTAAACGTCGGAAACAAATATAACACCGCGCGAACTCGTTATTTGCAGAGATCACTAACGCGAAACGTGCGTGAGAGATCACATGGCAAATAAATTCATTATCACTTACCGAAATCAAAATCAAGAAACAAAACTCAGCGCGCGTCCAAAAAAAAAAAAACCACCGGAAAAAAATATTGTTATTCACTTTTTTTTGTATCTCATTGACAACCGTGATGAAACCGTGCTGAGACAGGAGGAATATGTCATATCGTGACGATCACGTGGGATTCCTCGTGGTCGCGGAGTAACAAGTCGAATCGACAACTTGTTGCCGCAACGTGTGCGAGCAATCATCCGTTCGTCCTATTAATCGCGCAAATGGAACGCAGAAGGAGGCACCGCGCGACGACGACGACGACGCGGCACGCATCGTGAAACGTTGACTCAAGGCTTCCCTCGGTACATAAGGATGGTCTGACGACTATAAATACGTTCATTAAGTGCTCCCACAGTCTGTCGCGAACGGGTGGAACGTGAATCGAACTTCAAATCGAGCGCCCGAGGTGATTCACTTAAGCGAAAAAAGATGAGGAGGAAAGGAAGGAAGTTTTATACGAGTACCACATTTCGTATTTACGAATCGGTCGAGGGGACTTTTGCGAGAGATCGATATCCCGATCGAAAATATAATTGAACTTTGCTCAGATCGCGGACAGAGGCAGCGATTGCTTTAACTAGTTTGCGCGGGAATCACATACTCGTCAATATTTCAATTTAATTTACGATCTCTCTTGCTCTAACCCGATAGAATGATTTATTAGTCCTTGATGCCGAAAATCGATATCCCACTAAGTTTGAGCGGCAGTACATACCGGATATATCGATTATATTTTCCGAGGTTTACGATATCGAAAATTGAACGTGCGACAATTGAACTGATTCAATGTCCAGTTTGATTGTCGAAAATAAATAAGTTCTTGTGTAATTTCGATATATTGTTGATTTAAAAAAAAAAAAATATTTTGTGTCACAATAATTCCTATTTATCATATATATTTACAAATAAGATATAGAATATTATTTTGCATAATATTTTTATCAATTTTTAATATACAATTTCATCTAACTGTTACTCTTTAAAAAACCTCTCAGCTCAACATATTTTTAATATCATTGATTTAACTTATTCGATGTAAATTTCATTTTTCATCCAGCGTGATTAAGAAAAAAAAATCTCTTTCACGATACTTACTGTAATCGAAAAAGATTGCGTGATTGCGCGTTGATCGATTTTAGTCAATGTTCTTCCAGAAACCGTAACACACACCACAAGTTTCGTGACACTTAAACGAAAACGAAAGTAGTTTCCGTTGCTTCTTCTTTCGTTTTCTTTTACCCGATCGTCGATTTTGAGATTTTCGCAATTGCTAATTTCTTTTACGGAACGAAAGAAGAACAAAGGGAGTCTCGAAGAGATATCGGCACGACGGATATATATCGGTGATGTTGAAAAACAAAAAAAAAATCCTAAATCCTCTTTGGATTTTTTTTCGGAATCGCGAATCCACGAACAACGTGTACGTTGTTTTCGGCAAACCGAGCGTGTCGTCAATTTTTTAATTTTGACGAGAATAATTGAAAAATACAAAAAGAAAATAAAAACAGATATTACCCGAAACCGGTCGTGATTGAAACCGTGTTTTAATGTCGGAAAATCAACCGCACCGCCGTCATGCCAACTCGCGGACTGAGGACGTAGCGTAGATGCATTGCTTTTAACCGGTACGCCATATTGGTGCTCACTATCCCTTCTCTCTACCGCTTCTGTCTCTTTTTCCCTCTCCTTCTTTTTTGTGGATCTCGTCGTCGTCGTTGTCGACGTCGTCATCATCGCAATACAGTGTCAGCTCACCTGACGTGCTTCTGATGTGCTCTCGTTGTATCTTCCCGCGTGACGTCATTATGTATGATCCGACGACGGACTACAACGCGACGCGGTGATGTGGTTATAGCGATAGTAATGATAATTATGATGATAATGACAACGACGACGACGACGACGACGATGATAATGATGATGATGATGATGATGATATTTTTTGTAACACGAGTTATGTCTCTGTTGGGTATTCGGATGTTTCCAAGATTATGTCACGTGTTAATTACGTCCCACGGTGTGTGCAAATCGGCTTGCACTTTGATAGAACTCTCGAACTTTCGTCTAGCTTCCGCGAGAAAATCGCGAGTGTGTTCGTGTACTTGAGACGTATGAATATTTATTATCTTAAGAAAAGCCAATATCGCACAATTCAGATATTGTAAAAAATTAAATAAAACCGAAATGTTTTTAAAAACTAAACAAATTATTTTAATAATTTACATATTCAAAAAAGAGGCATCGCAAAATTCAGATACTGTAAAAAATTAAATAAAAACTAAGTGTTTTACTAAATAAATCAATTTACACATTCAAAAGAAATATGTACATATTTATATTATATACAAACATAAAAATATATATATACGCATATATATATACAGGGTGTCTGATAATGACCGTATAACCGCTCGTGTGTAGATAGAAGAGATTATTCTGAGTCAAAAAGTCCTTTACCATTTTGCGAGATTCGCAATATTTAACGAAATTTTAATACATAAAGATCCACGAATGAGCGTGCAGCCACATGCAAAATGACAGCTCGGAGCTGTCATTTTTTTCGCGCGCTCGTACGCCGTAGCAACGGAATGACAGGAAATAATAAGCAGCATATAATACACATAAAAAATCAATAACTGCCGACGACTAACTAATGTGACGCGAAAATATAAATTTTGTACTTTTTTAATTGAAATGAATAAGTCTAATGTCAAGATAAGTTAAAACTGAGTTCTTTTATACTCTTGTAATTAGGTATTTACTTATTACTGTATTAATAATTATTTATTTACTTATTTTTTTATATTTCAAGGTTTACATACAAGAAAACTTTTATTATTAGAAAAAATTAAATTTTTTTTCTATTCTTTATGGGATTTTTTAAATACATAGATAAGTAAATAAATGAATAATCGTTATCGACATTTTTCTTTGATCATATAGCTCATACAATTATATAAGTAAAGAAAAATGGGCTATATGATCAAAGAAAAATGTCGATAACGATTATTCATTTATTTACTTATCTATGTATTTAAAAAATCCCATAAAGAATAGAAAAAAAATTTAATTTTTTCTAATAATAAAAGTTTTCTTGTATGTAAACCTTGAAATATAAAAAAATAAGTAAATAAATAATTATTAATACAGTAATAAGTAAATACCTAATTACAAGAGTATAAAAGAACTCAGTTTTAACTTATCTTGACATTAGACTTATTCATTTCAATTAAAAAAGTACAAAATTTATATTTTCGCGTCACATTAGTTAGTCGTCGGCAGTTATTGATTTTTTATGTGTATTATATGCTGCTTATTATTTCTTGTCATTCCGTTGCTACGGCGTACGAGCGCGCGAAAAAAATGACAGCTCCGAGCTGTCATTTTGCATGTGGCTGCACGCTCATTCGTGGATCTTTATGTATTAAAATTTCGTTAAATATTGCGAATCTCGCAAAATGGTAAAGGACTTTTCGACTCAGAATAATCTCTTCTATCTACACACGAGCGGTTATACGGTCATTATCAGATACCCTGTATATATATATATATATACATACATACATATATGTATATTATTTGTATTATATTCAGATAAAAAAGTCCACAACATAACAGCTCACAACTCAAATTCAAATTAATTACTAGATTAAAGTTTAATTATTGTTTAATTATTGTTTAATTATTGTTTAATATAATATACGATATTTCTCTTAAAGTCTATGCTAAGTTTTAAAATACTTTGGCTTTTTGTTATGTCATTATTAGTACAAAGTTATAATAATGAAAAAAAGAAACAACAAATTAACAATATTATATTATAAAAAATTATAAAAAATTATAAAAAATCATAAAAAATATATACATATTATCATAAAAAATATACATTACGTATTATTAAAAAAAAACTTTGTAGAAATGTTTTTTACTTGTATAGGTATATTACAGATAATAAATCATATAAAACAATCTGTTATACATAAAGTAAAAAATTTCTTGTTTCACATGTATTAACATATTAAATATTATAATAATATATTAACATATTAAATAAACATTTATAATATATTAACATATTGAATAAACATTAATAATATATTAACATATTAAATAAACTCTCTGTTTGCAATGTGGTTTTTCATTAACCCTGCCTTCAAATCGAGTCTGAAAAACCGAGACTTATTGTTTTACTGTTGTAGATTTTAAACAAATCTTAAAAAATTGTAAGATATATTTTATAAAGTCTCTCTACTTTAACGTAAAAGTGACACTTAAGCAAAATATTAAACCGTTTCGTAAGAAAAATAAAAATTTGTTTGGAGAAATTAAACAAAGAAATTTTCTCTGAAGGGGCTGAAATCTTCATTATAATGGAAGGTTAAAATATACTATAAAAAAGAATAGTTCAAAATCATTTTAAATAATTAAAATTATTATCTAAAAATGCAAACTATTGAAAATCAAATCGTTTATGTTCGAGCAAGTATACGTAATTATGTATTTGATTTTTTATACATCCAGAATTTTAGATCTAGTCTTATATTTAATATTTAATTCAAAGTTATTACTTTTTACAGCACGTATGCAATGCAAGTCATTAATCTCGTAATATAAAAAAAAAAGATATTAACCCATAAGGTAGTAACAAGTTTTTTATTGTTTTCTTATTGTCGTTCGAAAAAACAGTGTTTTTCTGCAAACAAGACAAATCTAATCGATTATTAATCAAACATTTTTCATTCTTACATGTCTCGCCTAGTAAATTAATTCTGTGTGTAAGCACTAATCCCCAGTATCAATGTAATCCACATCGGACTTTTAACTTTCGAAACACGCGAAAAAATTTTTAACTCCTAAACGCGGTCCCGAAACTCGAATTGTGTTTGTTGGAGGTGTCGATTGCGTTTGGGATTTTAATTGAATTGTTTTGCGTCAAAGGTCAGAGTTGCTGCTCGCTACGAGAATGATATTAAAACTTCGAACTATTATGTTATTAGAATTTTGCTAGGCATTTCCACTGGCGTGATACTGATCCAATGTCGACTCCACTGCATGCCAGGACAGTATCAAAAAATCGCCGTAAGACAATATTTGTTAAATGGAAACAAACATATTGCATAAACAAAACCGCTAATATTGGACTAGTATCATTTCTTGATAATTCCTTGCTGGTTTTATGACAGTGCAAATCTTAATTGAGATCTTTATGTTAATATAAACGTTTTTATTACGAAAATAGAAGAAAGAGAAGACATTATTTTTTTAATTTATGTGTATAATTTTAGTGGAAGACGGTCACAATTACCGGATATTTATTAATACCAATGAAACAAACTCTGAAATCTTGCTATTTTTGCGTATCATTTTAATTTTAATATTGGAATTTGTCCGATCTTTTTTCGGCGAGAATATATCGCGCTTTTGTTTTTTATCTCTCGTTTAAAAGATGTAATTGAAAACCAAAAAGTGATAAATCAATACAAACATCAGAATGACTTTCCTTTAAATGTCAAACAAATGAAATGAAAATTTGCATATGATAAAAAAAGATGTCTCGTATAAAAAAAAACGCACAAGATGCGATGTTATTTATTATAATTATTTGGAAACATGAGGTATAGTAATTACTTAGAAAGACGTGAGTTAAAAAGTTTGAACATATTCGAAGTATATAAATCAAGACGACAATTGATACAGAAAACCATTTCCGGTTTACGCACAGTACATAAGTACGGACATAAAGAATTATATGTGCGTATATATATATATATATATATATTTCTGAAGCACCGAGATCTGACTAGATTTTATTTTGGAATGCGGAGACTTACAAAGTAAATATATACAAAATATATTCTTGTCGAAGATCGGATAAATTTATCAACATCGATTAAAATAATATATCTAACCGATTTGTCTCTTGTCTTATTAATCGAACGTTGCGTTTTAACATTTTACACCCTTAAAAGTCTCATCGAGTAAATGAAAAATTGTCTCGTTCCGATCTCAAAAAAGTTCTTTAAATCTAAAAATTAAGTTCTTTCTTTCCGAAAGAGAACCGAATCTTATAAAACTCGATTTGTTTTTCTTTTTGTATGCGCATAACGACCGGAAGGAATCCATTTCAAACGTACAAATCGTCTGTCTCACAATTTTACAGGAGAATACACCGCGGTAAGGATTGCACTTATTTATCGCAACACTTCGCTTTCTTAATTCCGTAACTTTGCAATAAAATTTTGCTATTAGCAAAAAATGATAGCGTCGAAGAAACGATAGCCGGGTAATTATTTTCAGAAAGCAACCATTGTTCCGTGACATTTACGTAACAACATATGTATATGAATGTCTATGATGTTGCATATATTCTAATCGATTTAACGTTGACTATCATTGAATCGTCATTAAATAGACTTATCGTAACTGCGTAATTGCTGTCGTGTAATTCATCTTGCAAAATTATTACATATGTATGTGTATTGATAACAAAATGTGAAAGAAACACTTGTGTGCGACTTCGTTGCTGTAGCATATTACTTGATGCTTTTTGTAAGCTAAATATATATATATCATAGTCCTTGCAAT